ACATTGTCTCAGAAAAATTCTGATAGCCTTGTGAAATGTGCATGGTCAACCTCAAACCTAACATTCCCTTGCTTGCATTGTACTATAGGCATAAGCAGACATTTGAAGACCTTAGGTGCCTTGCCTTGTATATTGTCTTGCTTGAATATACTTCATAATACATCATAAGAAGTGACAGTGGGTATTACATTATTGGAACCAAGTCAGGGCGTTCTCAACACTTGGTTCTTAAAAATGCAGAAAAAATGAATTTCAATAACATGTAGAAGTGTAGTCAGTTCTCAAAATCTATTTACGCAGGCATCGGCTTTATGCAAACAAGTAACTAAGGTACTAGTCACTACGGTAACACATTTTGCAAATAAACCACTTATGATGGTAGAAAATCTTGCAAATAAGTCACTTATGATGGTAAACACATCTTATAAACAAATCACTATGGTATCACATTTCCTAGACCTGATGGTAACACATTGTGGACACAGGTCACTATGATATCACATTTCAGAAAGCTAGAACGGTCTTAAATGGATGCCAATGTAATGAGCTTTCAAAGATCCTTTCTGGGCAAACCCTTTTCCACACTCAGAACAAACAAACGGTTTTTCTCCGGTATGCGTTCTCATATGCATACGTAGATGTGCTGCGGAGGGAAACGGCTTCTGGCACACCTCGCATGTATGTTTTGACCGTCTGCTCTGACACTCCCTCAAGGTTGTCTGCATACCGTCAGGTCCAGCCACATCTGTAACAAACAAAATACTGAACTTCTTATTGTGTTCACAGTTACAACTTTGAAAATAAGCACAATAGGTTGACTAATCTATGTTTAAAAACAAACTATCACAGTTACAACTTTAAAAATAAGCACAACTGGTTGACTAATCTATTGTGTAAAAACAAACTAACACAGTTACAACTTTGAAAATAAGCACAACTGGTTGACTAATCTATTGTGTAAAAACAAACTTATCACTGTTACAACTTTAAAAATAAGCACAATAGGTTGACTAATCTATTGTGTAAAAACAAACTAACACAGTTAAAACTTTGAAAATAAGCACAACTGGTTGACTAAAAATCTATTGTGTAAAAACAAACTTATCACTGTAACAACTTTGAAAATAAGCACAACTTTTTTTTTTTAATGCGTTTATTTAAGGTCGCCACCGGAAAGCCCATATGGGCGACCGTACACTCTAGTCGGGCCATCCTAGAGCGTCCCACCGAGATTTTTTCGTCGAGTTTTTTCCAGCTTTATTGGTGGAGGAAGACCCCAGGTGCCCCTTCGGGCATTATTTCAGGCACAAGCGGGCACCTGGGTAGAACCACCGACCTTCCGTAAGCCGGATGGCTTCCTCACATGAAAGATTTCGACCCAAGTGAGGATCGAACCTACAGCGGTGAGAGACCTGTGATTTCAAGTCAGCGACCTTAACCACTCGGCCACGGAGGCCTCTATAAGCACAACAGGTTAACTAATCTATTCTTAACAGTCAGTGACCCATGAAGCTTACAATATCTATAAAAGCTATTTTGTACCTGGGGATTAGCTTGGAAAGACAATATTTGTGCAGTTTCTGATAATTACTATAAGGCATTAACTCTTAACATTCATATTTGGCACCAGCATTCTTAACAATTTAACTTAGCTTTAAAAAACTTCATTTATTTTTATTTTTTTGATTGGGCTTAAAGTCACTATTTGAGCTCATAAGCCCTAATTTTCCGCACCAGATTTAAATCCCCAACCTCCAGTAAGCTAGCTGGACTCAGAAAAGAATCCAAAGTCCCTGGTTAGATTTGAATTTACTTCAGTACATCAGAGTGACAATTTTTTTAAAGTCAGTACAACACTCTTTATCATTATTGCCAATCATGAATGTAAAAATATATTAGGGGAATTTAACAGGCTGCATACAGTAAACACCTTTTTCTTACAATTTTGCTGGATATTTTATTTCCTATGTGCTTGCCATATACTTTTACACCATTTAACTTTATATTAGATAAAAACATCTGTTTCTAAATGAAATGCATTGATAGCCATGGCAAATATACATATGTTGCCAAATTACTTTTCATTTTAATGGCAAATGAATTTAATTTTCATCATTTTGTAATTCATATATTGATTATTTTGAAACAAAACTGTGAACTTTTACAAAATATACCAGCTTATATAGCTAACATCTGTTACATCTTTGTAACTTGAGAGGTGAACTTTCAGTGGTTTATCTGGTATTCTCTAATCACAGAACTGAACCGTATTTTTCCCTATTGAATAGGACCTGTTGATGATCTATTTTAAGACAATTATGATGTAACCATTAAAGATGCCACATACTAAAAAGAAGTACAGAAACAAATCAGACACTAGCTTGATACCAAAGGTACAGCAGCATTGATAATTGTTGATGATTCTGATGTGTTAGATTTGAAGTGATTTTATCGCTTAATAAAATCACCACGCCCTCATGATAATATTCCATGATGATCTTGGTTCAGCCGAAACGTTTAAGGCATCGGCCTAAGAAGCTCAGCTTAGCATCCATGATAATGTTCCGGCCTGAATACTACATGATTAAAGGGAATTAAGTTTG